GCTGTAGATCCTGGTTGTGTGGATCAGGGAGTCTATGTCCCTTTCGCTCTTAGCATACAGCTTTATGTCATCCATGTAGAGGAGGTGACTGATCATAGCTCCATTTCTGAGGCTGTATCCATAGCCTGTTTTGGCGATTACTTGGCTTCGGGGGTTGTGGTTCAGTCCTATGCAGAACAGCAGTGGGCAGAGTGCATCACCTTGGTATATGCCACATTTGATGGACACTTGGGTAAGTGGCTTTCCATTGGCTTCAAGTGTGGTTTTCCACATCCTCATCGAGTTCGCAACAAAGGCTCTGAGGGTCCGGTTCACCTTCAGAGCAGCTGGTTCATTTGTGCTATTAGGCGCTCATGGAGTGCTGTGAGTTTCTTTAGCCAGTAGGTGTGGACCATGTCCGGGCCTGGTGCTGTCCAGTTCTTCATATCTGAGACTATCTGAGATTATTAGGACCCTGCCACTGAGCGTACACTTTCGCAGGTTGTGTTGCGAACAGCCTGTTTATTCGTCTGGCCTCATTCTCTTTCGTGTACCACTTTAGGCGGCTGGACAAGGCTTGCAGCCTTTGTTTGGCAGTTTCGAGTGCTTCAGGTATGGTCATCTGGATGTTTCCGAGCCTCCTTGATCTTAGCCTCCAACCGTCTTTTCCATGGTGGGTAACGTGTCTCATGGCTTCCATGGTTGTTCTTATAGCCAAGCATCTCTAGGATCACTGATGTTGAAGCATATATCAGCTCATTGGTTTCCGTGATCGTTACGGTCGGGATCGCCCTCAGTGCTGCATTCACACTTTCCATGAGACTTTCAGGTGGTACTTCACATAGCCGTTGTAATCGGTTTCTAGGTTGCCCAGCTTTCATTCTCGCCATGATCTTAGCTTTCAGATCAGTTGCTGCCTCGCTCAGCATTTCATTCATTGGGGCTGGCCTCCCGTTCTCATCATCTGCATTCATTGGGGCTTGCCTCCCAATCTCTGGTATGACCTCCTCCTCTGATCTGGCAGCCTGGGGCCCTTTACCGTGGACCCTGCGTTGTACCTCATCAATCTCAAGTTGTGACAGCAATTGCCGTTTGTGGATGTTGGAACACTGAGCTACTAGTTGTTTCGTGGTCAACCGTGACTGTGGGTTTCGAAGTAACCATTCAACCCGCATTCTCTGCATGTAACCCCTCTGACTAGGGTTGCTTGAGTAGTAGCATTACAACAGAGCCATGTTATCGCATCTCGCCCATCTCCGCTTTGTTCCAGTAGCCCATTTTTCATCAAGGTGCTCTGGTTCAGCACCTGATGCAGACCTTGTTTGGCCAGGCGACGTCTGAGCTGGCATGTCATTCGTTTTATTGTCTCTCATCATTGTATGAGAGACAATTGTAGCGTGAAGGATCTTGCCCAAGGACCCACACTGGATAGTGTTATGTGCTCATTTTTGCCCCAAACGGGATTCGAACCACTGTCTCCCGTATGCCAAACCGATGCCTTACCAACTGAGCTATCCAGCCGCCTGCTACCTTATTACAGCCTTTGACACACTATTTACTTTTACAGAGGTTAGAGCTCACTATTGCCCGCCCTTATTCAGCGACAACTAACAACAACAGAGGAGCAGCTAAGGTCATTGCTGTGGGTGCCTTTCTTGCTGCCCCACAGTGAAATAGATCATGTCACATTTTTTTGTATTTCTCATGAGGGACATCCCCCCCCCCCCCGCCCCCCATCACATTATTGCACTTGTATAAAAAATGGCAGTCAGTACATTTTTCTTGAGCACACTAGCTCTGTCGGTCACCGAGACTGAATGAGTTAGCGATTTATGTCTTGGCTTTTCTTACCCTCTTATTACTGTGTTTATACTTAAAATGTTACATCATTTTTCTCCGGGCACTCCGGTTTCCTCCCACATTCCAAAAGCATGCCTCGCAGGCTGATTGAACACTCTAAATTGCCCCTAGGTGTGAATGTGAGCATGGATGGTTGTTTGTCTCTGTATGCCCTGCGATTGGCTGGCAACCAGTTCAAGGTCTCCCGTGCGTACTGCCCGAAAACAGCTGGCATTGGCTCCAGCATTCCCGCGACCCCCGTGAGATTAAAGCGGATCGGAAAATGAATAAATGAATGAATGTTACATCAACCTGCCAAGAGACTACAGCTGAAAACGAGCAAATGGCTATAATTTGGCACATACACATGCAAATCTTCATTAATATGCACTGTCCTTTTTTATATTATTTTTTTTAATGGTTTACATGAAGTGTGTCAACACTAACTACTTTTTCCCTCTTTCCAGCCAAAGCATGATGCTGCCACTACCATGCTTCACTGTATATATGGTGTTCTTTTCGTGATCAACAGTGTTCTGTTTGTGCCAAAAGTACCTTTTGAAAATATAACAAAGTTCAGCCTTGGTTACACTGAACTATAACAGGTTTTCCCAGGAGATTTTCGTACGGTCCAATAAAAAAAAACATGTCTGAACAAGGATTGACTCGCGTATCTAATTTGCTTTTCTTACTAATTATTTGGAAAGATTTGTCACACTAAATGTGAGCATATGTAATTGCGTGTAATTCAACAGGCTCAGCAATGGATTCATGCTGCGTGGATGTTTTGACAGAAATAAGGGGAATCTTCCCAATAAATCATTTGCAGTGGCCAGCGTGTGTTTCGAAAATCATCTCATGACCTACAGTCTCTGCAAGCCCGTGTAGAGTTCCATGTGACCTTCTCCCAACGTCTGCAGACCAGTCCAGTTCTCAATGTGTCTGTGAATAAGCAGAAAGTGTGAGTCAATCATTATTTCACTGAAGAAAAAAAGCACGCGCGTGCGCGCGTGTGTGTGTGTGTGTGTGTGTGTGTGTGTGTGTGTGTGTGTGTGTGTGTGTGTGTGTTTCTTGAAAAATGTTAGTTTGCTCGTTTCAAGTGAATGTTCCAAATAATTTTTACAGTTATGTAGTTTTTCTTTTATTTCAAGTTGTGTAAATCTACGGCGGGGCGCCAAGTTTAAATGTTTCATTTGGACGAAAGGATTTTATTTTTTTTATTTAGTGTTTATTGCGCACGTGTGGTCTTTTAATATATCAGGGGGCAGAGTTAGCAAGAGTTAACCTCAATGCTAACACTTGATTTTGTCTTGTTCATAAAGGCCATAACTCACTGAACGGTGAAGGCTTACGAACGTGTGCTCACCTCGCAAATGTTTTTTTTTTTTTTTTTTTCCATCAGGGTTCATTTCAAGGTCGAAAACGGTCGCAAATCCATTCACCTACAATATATTTTTTTTCCCACACAGAAGTTTTAAACATGATGGGGACAAGAAAAACTGTTTGGAACCATTAAACCTGTTCGGGCAAAGTCTTTGCAACTGTTTGGAACATTGAACAAACACTGACAAAAAAGAAAGAAAAAAAAAAGACGCATTTGCGACATGTACGCACACACTTGCAAACCTCAGCCACTCAGTGAGATACGGGCTCAAGTGAGCGCCTTCGAGTGTTCCTGGTCTAATTTGACTGGTCTGTTTTTCCTGCTTTTAAATGAACACTTGCAGTAATCACAGCCAAAGTTTTATTTATCATTCTTTTAAGCTGTGAACAATATTTCCGACTAGTGTTCAACACAGCAAAATACAATTAACAACTGAGAATGTAGTCCTAAATGAAGATATAAGAAGAGACAAAAGACATCAGAAACAGAGACCAAACTTTCCGAAGAAAAAAAAAATTGCTTGTAATATTCCTAGAACATTCCTTTGATTTGAAATCAAGTGGAGGATGAGGTTTTATTACTTTAATGTATAACATTCATTCTAACAAACATAAAACATTCCGACACACTATTAGTTTGTACGCGATGCATCACACCTGCACGTGACACATCTCAAACAAACCATTGACAACTGGACACACTCAAAATAGTGTTGGCGCATAGTAGAGCTTTGCCTGGAACAGGTCTGACTGTCTTTGTCCCAACTGACTCAGTCAGCAGCAGCGAGGAAGTTCATAGCCAGAAAGGCCAGCCAACCATCACACATCCCTGGTCATACTTGGAGGAGTTATTCTAAAATCAAAACTCATTTGGAATGAGCGAGAAACTTTGCAAACTGAACAGAAGTGCCACCTGCTCATGGCTTTCAAAAACTCGCTGTCAAACGAGAAAAAGCAGACTGAGCTAAGTTGAATGTTTATTATCAAGGGGTGTCAAGGGTGAGAGACTGAATTAGACTTGAATAGACAATGTGAGTTTCATTTATTGCTGTAGGTATTACCAAGTAAGTGACTTGCGTTAGCTCATAATAGATGTACAATGTTTGCTATGGCTCGATGCTTCGCGAGACATCCCATGGTTTGCTGGAAAGCAACATCCTGTGAGTCAATGTTGCATGCTCGTTCGGTGGGCTGTGTGTCATATTTGAAATTCAACCGAGGCCAAATCTGAATTTATAGATGTTATTTGATCTTTCACCTTCCATCCATCCATCCATCCATTTTCTGATCCACTTGTCCTCACAAAGGTCGCGGGGCGTGCTGGAGCCTATCCCAGCTGTCTTCGGGCAGCCCTGAACTGGTTGCCAGCAAATCACAGGGCACATAAAGACAAACAAACATCCGCGCTCACACTCACACCTAGGGACAATTTAGAATGTTCTATTAACCTGCCATGCACGTTTTTGGAATGTGGGAGCAAACCGGATTACCCGGAGAAAACCCACCCAGGCACGGGGAGAACATGCAAACTCCACACAGGAAGGCCGGAGCCAAACCCTGCACCTCTGCACTGTGAGGCCGACGTGCTAACCAGTCGACCACCAGACCACTCATGTTATACAGTATTTTTGCTATGTGCAGTATTTGTAGGTAACACAAAGTAATTTTGGCCAGGTATGTCATCTAAATCAGTGGCCCTCGAACATTCCTGCAGCAAAGTTAGGATGCACACTCACTGACTATACCTGTCATATCTTATCATATTTTGCGCTCCATGAAACACATTTTCATGCTCAGTTGTATACATGGCACCTAAACATATTTGCCTAACATATATAACAATGAAGTCCTAAAAATAAATAACGTGTAATTTTTGGAACAATCTTTTCAGGAAATGACCAAAAACATAGCTGCTGTCCCTATTTTAAAAATAATCAGCTGCACATAAAATGTACATTGAAAGCTGAATTCAAGTGAGTAAACAATGCACCTCGAGTTATTTTGTACATTTTGACTCTGATACAGGAGAGTGAAATTTTTCTTCTTAAAAATGTAATTTATTTAGGGTGTTTTGAAGCCTCAAGAATAGACTTATGGCATTGCCATTCATTCCAAGAGGGAAACATTTGACAGGTGGATTCATCTGATTAATTATTATTCCACAAACATGAGATTAATCATAAAACCACGTTGAGGCCGTCGGCGCACATAGAACATTGTGAACAATAATGTTTGACTTTACTTGTTTTGCAGGCTCTGAAACAGATTGATGACATTTCCATGCATTTCAAGAGGGAAACATTTGACAGAAACAGACAGAACGTGTTTTTTCAGATATTTTAAAAAAAGAAAAATCACGGGTCACATTAACAACAGCGGTTGCTCCAGTGACGTCACCGTTGAAGCTACAGTACTGTATGTCGACGCTCGCAGATGAGTCCAAAGTTAGCTAAAAGCTAATGACACGACTCGACACTGATCGCTGCAATTTTGTATCGATTCATGTCAGCGGTGACAAATAAACGGACAAGAGCAGATAAGTCCAACGTTAGCTGAAAGCTAACAACTTTACTCAGCTCTGATCGTTGCTAGTTTTAATCAATTCATTTCAGCGCTGAGAAACAAGTGCAACTGCACAAAGTGAAGCTTCACTTGCAAATTATGTTTTCACATAAAAATGCTTTTATCTATAAAAAAAAATCATTTACATACATATGTGTGTACAACGTGCAATGTCGGGATGTCACTGAAAAGTAAATATTGGGATTTTGGGGGGGTGATTTGTTCTTTGAAGCATTAACCATGTGCTGCAGTCGATGTAAATAAGTTTATATAACGCAACATACAATTTTACAAAAATTGTAAAAGTATTATTCCTGAATATTTATTTTACTTTCAACCACTCGACATGTTCAGTGGCATCAGTGCTATACATACACATATAGTTCTTATTTTTTTCTTTGTATTTTTGCCCTCTATGGACAATAAAAGCGGTATTGTGCTATGACCAAAACATAAATATAAATCTATATAAATAAAACATGAATTGGAATATTTCATATTACACAATTTTTATGCTTTATCTTTGATTTAAAGATGACAATACGCAAAAATCTACAAAAATTGTAGAAATTGTAACACATGGGTTACTATCAATTTGTTCAATGTAGTGCCTTCATTTTAATGAGCTTACATAGTCATAGCCATTATTGCAATTATACTAATAGGAATTAATAATGACTATAATTATGCACATTCCCTGGTAAACCAGGTATTGACTTCTTAAGAATGGAAATAAAATCAAGCAAACAGCCCGAGTGAGGAAAACTGTTTCAGCAAATTGATGGATGGATTTGGAGCACAATAAAGTCCACATGGAGGAAAAATAATTTCAATAATTTAATTTTACATGATTACATTCTCATCCTTTCATGGCTGATGCAAAAAAATACATTAAAATAACAAATCATGATTATAGAGTCACGATTTTGCTGTGGAATTGAACCTTTGACATATTGTTTTTCAAAAACCTATTTCAAAATATACTGTAGTAATGGCGTCTCACGGTAATGTTCTTGATCAAAGGTTGGAAATATTCTAAATTCAGATTCAAGTTGTTCTGGAAGTGAATTTTTATGAGGTTGGCCACTCTGGTTTAATCATTGTTACATATGTGTGTACAACGTGCAATGTCGGGATGTCACTGAAAAGTAAATATTGGGATTTTGGGGGGGTGATTTGTTCTTTGAAGCATTAACCATGTGCTGCAGTCGATGTAAATAAGTTTATATAACGCAACATACAATTTTACAAAAATTGTAAAAGTATTATTCCTGAATATTTATTTTACTTTCAACCACTCGACATGTTCAGTGGCATCAGTGCTATACATACACATATAGTTCTTATTTTTTTCTTTGTATTTTTGCCCTCTATGGACAATAAAAGCGGTATTGTGCTATGACCAAAACATAAATATAAATCTATATAAATAAAACATGAATTGGAATATTTCATATTACACAATTTTTATGCTTTATCTTTGATTTAAAGATGACAATACGCAAAAATCTACAAAAATTGTAGAAATTCTAACACATGGGTTACTATCAATTTGTTCAATGTAGTGCCTTCATTTTAATGAGCTTACATAGTCATAGCCATTATTGCAATTATACTAATAGGAATTAATAATGACTATAATTATGCACATTCCCTGGTAAACCAGGTATTGACTTCTTAAGAATGGAAATAAAATCAAGCAAACAGCCCGAGTGAGGAAAACTGTTTCAGCAAATTGATGGATGGATTTGGAGCACAATAAAGTCCACATGGAGGAAAAATAATTTCAATAATTTAATTTTACATGATTACATTCTCATCCTTTCATGGCTGATGCAAAAAATACATTAAAATAACAAATCATGATTATAGAGTCACGATTTTGCTGTGGAATTGAACCTTTGACATATTGTTTTTCAAAAACCTATTTCAAAATATACTGTAGTAATGGCGTCTCACGGTAATGTTCTTGATCAAAGGTTGGAAATATTCTAAATTCAGATTCAAGTTGTTCTGGAAGTGAATTTTTATGAGGTTGGCCACTCTGGTTTAATCATTGTTGATTATTATTGTGAGCAATTAATATGATCAGTGTTTTAACAGATTAATCATTATTAATAACATATTTGAAAGTGACGAGCAAATGTTTGAGAGGTGCTTACAAAATTAGAAGCCCTTTACATGCATTTCCCAAGAAGGAGCTCCTTCTAACATTCCAGAAGTTGTTGGAAAGCAATTTTGCACAACAATTTCATTCTGCACCAACCAGCGATGGTCCATGACATAGCAAACTTTCAACGGCTGCTCAGTGGGAAACGACAAATCAAATAGTAAAAGAGTGCCGTGACACTTACATGGAAGTGATGTTCTGGAAAAGGTCTGGAGTGCTCCTAGTAGTATTTCCAGAGCTCCCAGCATCCCGGAAGAACAGGAGTGGGGAAAGCCCACGGTTGTCTGCTTTGGTGCAGTAGATTTCGTTGGGCGAACAAGCACAGGTGGGTGGGCAGTCCGGCAGTGATGAAATTCGCTCATTGAGAAATAAGAAGTTGAGCACAAAGAAAAGCCTCCAGCAGTGCCATATTTTGGATGGCTGGCACCCATCGAATGGGACCAAAGCTCCAAGTCCATACATCATGATCAGAAATGTGAAAGTAATCTATTTTTTCCTTGCCAGGGTTAGTTACATCCACCAATGTAGAATGCAGCAACCAGTGTTCTTACTTTTTTCTCTCCTTCAAACCACTCAGTGTTTTGATTTGGCTGTAACATTCGGGCGTGTTAAACAGTCACTGACAAAAGCCAATCGTATTTCTGCTCTCTCTCTCTCTCTCTCTCTCTCTCTCTCTCTCTCTCTCTCTCTCTCTCTCTCTCTTTTTCTTTCTCTTGCCCCCCCCTACTCTCTCCCCACCTCCCACCTCTCCCCGAAAGTGACATATTCCAAGAAAAAAAAACAAATTCATCCTACATTAAAGGTGAGATATTGCCAGCATATCAAAAATTGTTATTTCAAGAGAAAAAAACACCCACAATAAAGTCTTTAATTCATGAAAAACATTTGTTATATTTTAGATAATGTCAAAATTCATCCATCAAGCCATTTTCAACACCACTTAGGCGTAGAAAAAAAAGTAGTGTGTTTCCGGTAACCCGACCGACCGAGAATTTCTACGTCGAAAAAAAACTTTACGTCGGCATTTTTTTCAAACAACCCTCTATACATTTTTATGTAGAGGGTTTACATCGGTGCAAACTCTCGCGATATTTACGCTGAGCGCATGCGTCGTTTGTCCAGTCGTCTGTCAACAACATTGAAACATGGCGGCGGCCGTGATCTCTGACGACAGTTTAAACTGTTTTTTCTGTGTTACATTCGCATGCTCGCACCGTAATGTTAAGAAAATAGCATCCATTGATGTATCGAAAAAAATTCAGCGAACTATTTGATGAACACCACGGGCCGAGTAAAAACCGAGGACGGAGGAGGACGGCGGAGGCCGCAGCGCGCCCTGGCCCCCCTAGTCCGGAGCGGGGAGAAAACTAAATAGGTGGCGGCGGCGCCAGCCGCGGAGCGGCGGGTTCAATGTCTTCTTGTTTTATGGTTATTTTGTTTAAATTTTTGATGGGAAAAAAAAAGATGAAAAGAAAAAACTTTGTCCGACCTACCGACCCTATGCTGAAATTTCATGTTACCGGAAACACACTATCTTTTTTGTTTGGCCTTATCCTGAACAGGGCTGCGGGATAATGTCAAAATGAAAACAAATATGTAATTTTCCATGATTGAAGTGCAAAATATAACAAGAGACTTGGGACCATTTTTTTGTTTGTTTGTTTTGGTTTTTGCAATTTAATCCCAGGGATTAATTAAACAACAATGGTATGACAAAATAAAAAGTAACTATTGGGTTGCTTCTCTATTTAATCAACTGTTTTTTTTTTTTTTCTTAAAATCACATTGTGAATAGAACCAAACATTTCCACTGGGCCAATTTCAAACACACATATAAATTCAAATTTCAAATTTGAAAATGGGTCGTATAGAGATGTAAAAGGTCAAAATCAAAGCTCAGGACAATGAAGCTCAAGATAAGCAGTTTGCTAGTCAAAATATGCGTTTTGCACCACAAACACATTAAAATGCAGAACTGTGGATGGGCTAGCGTTTTATGTGACAAAACGAAGAGACCAAACATGACAGAAATCAGTGAACGCTCACTTGTTACGCCCATGTTGACCTTCTTCATCGGTGCACAAGCTGCTCATGACACTATGTATGTCAGACGGCTTTTGACTTCAATGGCTCAGCACAGTGCTGGAGCTGGACATTTGGGGCCCAAGGTAAACACAACCAACATCCCAAACGTGCCCATCACACTGCTAAAGTATTGTGTGATCAATTCAAAAGATGAGTTATGTAATTAAGGCCACTTTATCCTGCTTTTGAGGTCACAGTTATCTGACAGCTAAAATAATTACAACAAAATATTTTTAACATATGACTATGTTTCTCATCAACTAAAAAGTGCAAATTTGAGAAAGTTCTCCTTTTTCCTGAGCTGTATCAAAGTCCTTAAAATCGTACTTGGGGATTATTATCGCACAAGTGAATTGTCTAAACCAGGGGTCCCCGACCTTTTTTGCCCAAAGGACCGGTTTATGTCAGGGACTGGCATTTAAGGTGTGGCGGATTAATACAACAAAATAATATGGTATGAGCTGCATGAAAACTGTGGTGTTTTCGAAATATAATAATAAATCCAAGGAGCGTCTAATCTGGCCGCAACACTCTGATCGCTATGGCAATGTTTAATGCCTTCAAAATACGATACAACGCAAATTCAAAGTGCATGAAAATGACGACTCACCACAGCCCCGAGCTTGATTTTCTGCAACCAGACGGTCCCATCTCGGGGTAATAGGAGACAATGACACCTCATGTGTGTGGTTTATGTCCAGTCTACTTCGTAATTTTGTTTGAGTCGCCGTTGCTGCAGAAAACCCCCGCCTCACACAGGTAGAATGTCGGAAATAGCAACAGTGCTATTGTGGCGATCTCAGAGTATTCAGCCATAACTTTAACCCAGTTGTCTCGAACGTACTTTTAAGGCCGCCGTCATTTGCGATCTCCAGCAGTTTTTTTACTCATTTTGCGAGCTCCGGTGTTTTGTTTTTCGCGTATTTGGTCACGTGACGGAGAAGCGAGGCTTGACGTGAGTCAAGCGTAACACAGACGGATGTAATGGAGAATCCGGTAATTTTTCAAAATAAAAAAAATTTCATATTCCGAAATAAATAAAACGAAATTAAGGTAAGTTCTTTCTGTGCGGCCCGGTACAAAATGCCCTGCAGACCGGTACCGGTCCGTGGACCGGCCGTTGGGGACCCCGGTCTAAACACTTGAATTGAAATTATTGAGAATAGCGGTCTTCATTTTAGTTTTAACACTTGCAAACTTGTACTAGTATAGAAAATATTTGTCCTATTTCCAGCTAATTGCTGTCAGATCATAAAAACACAGCCATCAACCTGCTGTATTATTATGTCGCATGCTAAAATGCTAGCTGCTCAGCTGGACTTGCACTTTGGCTGGTCAAGTCTTTTTTTTTATGTTTCTGATAGAAGAAATGCGAAGTTTAAAGTTTAAGTTTAAAATTAAATTTGTTTAAAATTGCCCGGCGGTGGGCTGGTTAGCGCGTCGGCCTCATAGTCCAGAGGTGCAGGGTTTGATTCCGGCTCCAGGCCTTTGTGGAGTTTGCATGTTCTGCCTGTATGGGTTTTCTCCGGGTACTCTGGTTTCCTCCCATATTCCAGAAACATGCATGGCAGATGAATGGAACACTCTTAATTGTCCCGTGGTGTAATTGCGTGCGCGAATGGTTGTTCATCTATTTGTACGCTGTGATTGGCTGGACACCAGTTCAGGGTGTACAGGGTGATCAGAAAATCCATGGATGGATCGATACATATCCATCTTCTATCATTTTCTAATCCGTTTATCCTCACGAGGGTCACGGGTGTATTGGAGCCTATCACGGCTGACTTTGGGCGGAGGGCAGACTACACCCTGAACTGGTTGGCAGTTAGTGGCAGGGCACATACAGAGACACACGACCATTCACACCCACAGCAACACTAGCTGAGTGAGAAATGACCCCACGCTGCCCGCACACAAATCAGGTGAACGCAGATTTTTATATAAGCGATATGTATGATATAAAGATATTGTTTATCCTATAGATTATACAATGTAAATGAATTGTAAATAAGTATGAATGTAACAGCTATTTGTCGCGTGGATCCCTGATTTTTTTTTCATTATGACACACACACATACAAAAAACATGAAACCAAAAGAACAACCCCAATGATAAGTCAGTAATAATCATTCCATGATTGTCACACCCCCTCATTCTTGCATGTGTGACAAACCATCTTTGTACTTCTTCTTAAATTGGATTAAATTGTACAATTTCAACCCCTGACTCAAATTATTGTACAGTGTGACTCCTCAAACAAAAACTCCTTTCCCAGCTCCTCAATCCCTATGTTCCTCCACGTAACTGATAGCTTGCCCTTGAAACTATTCTCTGTAAGCCTCTCTCTTAGGTGTCATTTTCGAGGGTCTTTGGCCAAACTGATGTTGTTTTGCACAATGCACATATACTACTGGGGGTGTGCCTTTTTTTGCGTCCTGTTTCAAGCGCACCCTTCCCTCTTTAACGTCCGCATGCTGTCCTCAGTCACGTCCGCCTTTCCGCTATGTAAGCTGCGTGTCACCATAATGTCAGTCAGTCAAGCGAACCCCTCATAGTCACACAACAGCATTCACAGGCTTTGCAACTCGGTGCATACACATGGCGCCCCGTCCATTTTGGATAAAATTTAAGCCTTTTAAGTGTGCCTTACGGTCGTGAAAATACGGTACTTACTCCGTCACACAAACAGCACGCATACAATTTCCAATGCAGTTTGAGTTGAGAAACAATGGAGCATAAAATAGTCATTCCGGTCTGTGGGCACGGGGAACTGTACAACAACTAGCGCACAATTCCAGGACCGGGCCAAAAGGAGCAAGCTTGGACAATGCTGAGTGAGGAAGTTGGTGCATTTAGGAGTTTACATATGTTGAGATGTGAACCAAGGGAGCAGGAGCATTTAGCAGTAGCCGAAAGTTGAACACACCCACCAGTCACCTGATTGACTCGAGATGTTTATATTTTTTTCTGACTTTGGAGGAAGCCCCCGCCTTCTCCATTGTGGTTTGGCGAATGAAGCACTTATGCACGTAGTATCCAGTAAACAAACTCCCACGGGAAATGCAAGTAGAAATATCATTTCAACCTTGGTGTGAATATAGTATGAGTGAATTATTTTTTTTTTTTAGTTTAAACATAAAAAAAATAAAATAAAAACCATTAACAAGCACACCAAAAGCTATTCTCTTCCAATCCAATCCCCGCTTGTTTGTGCTGCACCTGTCCCCCGTGTGTGTGAGGGGAGGGGGTGTAGGGGGCTTTCATTTGCGACTAGGGGTCAAACCAGCTATCCTGCAGTCCATTTCAACAAGCTCCCAGGGGGACGAAGAAAAGAGGGAGGGGTGAAAATGAGCTTGGTCCTGAAGGAGCTCCAGAGCAGTCTGTCGTCATCAGCAACTCTAACAGACCCCGTTAGTTGCACATTAATTCATGACATTACTCATTTAATTTAATTTGAGTCATGATG